CTGATAGTAATTAGAAAAAAATATGCAGCAAGTATCAACTTGATAGAAATCAAAAAGACAAAGGCAAAGAAATAAATACAAAATTTTAAACTGCCTGTAAGTAAAATGAAAGTGTCTGGCACAGATAGAAAAGAGATCTGGTAAAATATACAAATAAAATAAATATTAAATAAAATAGTGCTAGATAATCTATATTACAAGAACCTACAAAAACAGATGCATTCATTTTTAAGCATTTAAGTATTTTAACTGTAATTGAATGTTAATGATGATTTGGGTTCTGACTTATTTTCCTGTTTTATCAGATTCTATTAGACTTGTTGTACAGGAGACTGACACAGCCAAAAATAAAGACATAAATGTCACGTGTGACAGTGTGGCAGACAGGATGAAGGACCCAAATGCAGCACTCACGAGAAACTAAGGCGTGAACTCAGGAAGGCAGCTTTAATGCTGTGCCAACAAACCCATATAATACAAACAGGAAAGGAAAAGAAAACCTAAAAACTAGAAGCTAAGAAAAAAAACTCAGACGTAACCTGGGTACCAAGGAGCCCAGCAAAACATGCACAGCACACAGGGTAAACAGCAACAGCCATAGGAAAACACAGGGCTTAAATACACCAGGGGGTAACAAGGGGATGAGAAACAGGAGGGAGCCACAGCTGGGACTAATCTGACATAACAAGACAGGGAGGAAGCAAAACTGAAAACACAGGACACAGAAGACTGTCAATGTATAACAGGAAATACAAGACAGGCACAGAGACGCAGACTTGACAAGGAGACACGGCTGACAGGGAAGACAGAGCGAACATGGAGCACAGAGACAAAAGTAACTAAACATGAGATGTGGAGCATGGGAAAGCAAGGTAACACAAACCTAAGGACTAGAACTAAGAATATAACATAAGCAGAAAACAATAATGAGAATCAAAACCATAAAAACCAACAAATCCAAATATATAACTAATCAAAAACACACTAGTTCCCAGACAAACTACCGTGACAATAAATAAACATACAGATAAATTAATTTTGAAAAGGGGGAAATCAATCAATAGCAAATTAAATTAGATCCAGGATTTAACAGAGAGCCAATAAAGAAAACTAATATTGGAGAAATATGACCCCCCCTGTCAGTTACTCTCTTTGTGGTGTTTTGAATCAGCTTTATGTACACGCCATGTGACAGCACGAGCCCTTTAATGTGAACCCAGTCATGCGGAGTGGAAACTCAATTTCAGGGCAGTTCCTCTCTTATTCAGTGAGCTAGACCGACTTTTTCTCGTGATATGAAGCAGCACCAGCAACACCACCAGAGTGAAGTTTTTATCTCCACCTAGGCTGCCCTGATGAAACTGCAGTGACTCTGCACACTTTGCAGTGGAACATGTCAAATAGCCAACTTTATACAAGGCAGCGATCCCAGAGACTTTCCACTGTGACTGCAGGGAGTCCCAGACACAGCACAAAGAGGCCAGACCTGAGAGGACCTCAGACCCGCCTCAGTCACACGGCCTTCAGGTGCTATTTCTGTTCACGCTATGAGTGACGAAGGTGCTAGCCAAACTAGCCCCAAACTCTGAACTTCCCTGGAAAAAGCTGAAAGCAGCTTGACTTTGATTTGTAGATAGTTTATAGATAGACAGTGGTAGAAATCAGCAATACTGTCTTTAATTTCTGTGGTTTTATTCCGATTTACTTTGATGGACTGTGGAAAAAGATGTCTGAGAATGTCCAGATATTCCACACTCCATGTGACGGCTGTTATTTTCCAATTTTTCGAGCCAGAGCTCCTCCAGGAAGATAAAACAAATGGCAGCATTGGTAGCTTCCTGCTGATGGCAGAGGTGCAGTGCAGTTAAAATGGGGTGACTGAAGCTGAGCACCAGTGACAGTTAAAAATAAACTAAGAAGTACACGCTTGACAGTTTTTCCTGAATTCCATCGGCACATTTCACATTCTTGAAGATTCTCCAAAAGTGAACCTTCAAAACACAGAGGATTGAAAATTTGGCTTTGTAGTGACAGAAGAACCTTTTTCTTCTCAGAAATAAAAATTGATTGAAATAAGATGCAGACTGTCAAAATAAAAGCCATAATTTGGGTCATCTGTACCTTGTACATCTTTCCCATGCTGCTGTGAGCACAGAACAATCTGCTGGTTCAATCTTGTTAAATTGTTTGTCCTGACATGCCTGAGAACTTGTTAGCGACTTAATTCACTAATAGAGCTTGTCTTTCTGTTTGGCCACATGTTTTGCACATTTAAAAAGACGATAAAAATTATATTTCCGCCATCATTTTGGCTCTCAATAACATCCAGGCTCCCTTTTAATTTGAGTTATTTCTCATGTTTTCTAATTATTTTGAGTTTGCATAAATATTTGTTGAGCAGGGAGTTTTCCTTTTTTTCCCCTCCCTTCTCTCCAAAGATCTGTATCGACTGGCAAAAAAGCTTGAATGTGATTTATTTCACGCTCATTGCGCTGATTATATAACTGGATTTAATATTTGGTGATAATTATCCTGTTGTGGAAACTTCATCGCCACAGACGAAGAGCTATAATTTAATATTGGCCCTCCCTCTTTCACTTTCCTATCCAGACACAGCAGATTGCTGGAAATATTTGTGAATGATGGAAGAAGAGGAGATTGTATGTCAGCAAGAGGCAACACGAGTCAGGCAACCCAACAGTGAGAGGCAACACAAAGTAGATTTTTGGGGTTTGTGTATATCCGTGTGTATATTGTGTGTGACTGAAGCTGTCAGGAAGTTGAGTTAAGGTCCTAAATCATCTGAAAACTTTAACATGAACCAGTTTTACAGTCCATATCACTTCTACCAGCACTGAGTTTATGCCACAGCATATTTGATCCCCAAAGTTCAGTTTGTTTAACTGGTGGGATCAGTCTATGCCTTGCCCTGGGTTTGTTGAAGAGGTGCTCGTCAGTCAAACTCAGACATGGTACGCAAATATTCTGATCGCTGACCTCGCCCACACATGGAATCCAACGTTTCCTCAGGGACTGCTGCCTCTTTGGAAATCCTATAAAACAATGAACCTCACTGCACTGTGCAAGAGCGTTCTTCATGAGCAAATTAGTGTAAAACAGAGAGGATGTGAGAGAGTCGAGCTGAGACGAAAGCATGCATGGGCCCAGGTATGCATAGGTCAGCAGGGGGAGTGGGGATGAAGGACAGTTTTATTTGTATAGTGCAACATCACATCAAAAGTTGCCTCAAGGTCCTTTATAATGTAAAGTAAAGACCTACAATAACACAGAGATATCCCCAACAATCAGAAGCACAGAAGCACTTGGTATCTGGCAATAAGCCACACTCATTTGCTGTTCAAACCTTCTGTTTGTGAAGGGCAGCCAGTAAAGTAAAATGGGGCTTAGTGGGGGAGGGGCTAGAACACTTTGACAGATAATTAAGGTTAACTTTGAAACGTGACTGATGCAAAGCCCCTCCAAGAGAGTCCAAGAACAAAAATCTGGAAAAATCCTGAAACTGTTGTGTTATCTCTGACAAATTTGCACGAAAAGACCACAAACGAAGTTTACAAAGAAATCCCAGTAACAAGACAAATCTTATTCCTGTGCATCTCGAGCTCCACTGTTGGCCCCCAGAACCTGATTTGTAACATTGCTGCCATGTTCCCTTCACTATAATGAACCAGCACTTTGGTTAAGGACTCTTACATTTAGTGCAGTTGCATGTAAATATTTGTGAAAAAGAAAATGTGCAGTATTATTTTAAACCCCACGTGTCTGGAAATAGGCGATTAAAAAAAAAAATTATGACTAAAATTCAAGTTAGTCCATTCACATACAGATGAGTATCCACAACAAATCTCCAGGTATCCAGCATTTAAAACGATGCTTGTAATGTTCCACAGTTCCACAATTAGCAAAACAGAATTTGGACAGCTTTAATTACTGAAAAATTTCCCTTTATTGGTTGATTAATTTTATTGCTAAAAATAATATTGAACTCACCTTCAGGACATAAACAGTGGTCAATGATCAACAGAGGAAAAGGAACTGTGAATGTGCCAGCGTTAATCAGAAGGGTTGATTTTCATCTGGATCTGATGTTTAAAGGCTTCCAAAAATATAATATAATTGATTTATATCCAATACGTAATAATTAATAGAAATCTAATCCAGTCGGAGAGAACTAGAAATATTAATAACATATGTTACACATGGGAACAAGGCAAAATATGGAGTGAAAAAGGACTTTTCTGTTTGATAAATTGTTCTAAAGGTTCATAAAACCCACAAGGGAGACATTCACGAACCATTAACTGTAGAGTAGCCAACAAAAAGCTGAAAAAAGTGAGATATCAAAGCGTCCAGCAGAAGATCTTCCAATAAAAGGAGGACTATAGTGATGATTTGATGATGCAAAGACATCCAGTGAACTACTTTAAAGAGATTTCCTGTTGGTGCTTGGACACTTTGAGTTCATGCGGTTCCCGACATGTTTTATGTCTTTCTTCTTTCCCCTATCCAATGCTCTGCACTCACTAATGATGCTGAAAAATCTCAAAATATCCCCAAAATATGAACGAAAAGCACCGGACAGCTCTTCACATATGTTTATGCCGTCCTCTCAGGCCTTTATGGCTGTGGTGATCGGTCCACTCGATTGCCTTTTAATAGTTTCCATTTTGAAAAATAATTAGATCTGGCAGCACGTCCAGTATGGCCCCTTTGTTTAAAAGGGAGGATGGTTTTAAATAAAAGAAGTCACAAATACTGGAAAGAACATTAAAACATGTCTGCCAATGTGACTGTACAGTATAAAAAATGCTCACAGTCAAGTCTGAAAACATCTGCTGTGATTTGAGAGGAAATTTAACTGCTATGGTGTCAAAAACTAAAACTGTGGAACCAACATTACATCGCCATTTATATTTTATACACAGTATAAGTTATTGTGTCACGTTCCTTTGATTAATTCTCTGCTTAACTGTTACTTCCAGAGGGGGGTCCTCCTAAAAACCTGGTCACCAGCGATGTAACTGACACCAGTTTCGTGGCGTCTTGGACAGCGGCGCCTGGGAATGTGAATACGTATCGTGTTCAGTGGAAGTCGATGTTTTCCCAGGAGATCCAAGAAAAAACGGTGCCAGGAGATGAAACCAGCACCGTGCTGGAAGGTCTGACTCCAGAGACACTTTACCAAGTCTCTGTGGTCGCTGCCTACCGCCACAAAGAGAGCGAGCCACTCACGGGATCAGAAATCACAGATGGTAAGACTTAATAAACTCTTCAGTCTTTCATCTTTAGCAGTAAGAGAAAATGCATGCATGCACCAAAGGATGAAAGCTGAAAAAATAAAGAAATTCATATATAATCAATGACAGTTACAGGAAGTATTTATGAAAGAACAGACAAAATAAATGTTAACCATGAGCAAACATATGTTTCTATTTCATCTGACTCTCAAAACAAAAACCAGATCACAGATTGGACCAACCGTTAGCAAAAAGAAAGCAAACCTTCCCGTGTGGTCTCACTTGTCATGGTGGAATAAGTCTTGATAGAGTGCTGGACGTAAGTGCTTTGGCCTTGCTTGAACATCATGGTGTTACCCAACTTTTAATAGGAAGGTGGGACCTACAGTCAGCAGTGCCCTTTCTACTGACGCCAAGATGGTCTGACATCCTGACATTAGGTAGCGACCAGAGTGTGATTTAAAAGCGTCCCACTCAGAGAAGACCACGAAAAGCTTTAGGAGAGCGCATATCATACCGTCCCAACCATCTCTGTGAAACAGCACTTTTATATAAGAGTCAATAGATTCTCTTATTTCCATTTGACACTAGTGTATGTGACCCTGGAAGGAAAACAGCCGGATGATTAGCTTAACTCCACTGACACCTCTGGTGTCGATGAACATGTCGTCAGTTACAGCTTCTCAGAAAAACTAACAAAAGCAAATCTTGGTGATAATTAAACCTTTAATTTTAGTTGCGAGGGGGGTGTTGGCCCACTTGGGGCTGGAGGTGGGACTTGAGCATATTATGTACATAAAAGGTGGATGCAGCAAAGTGAGACCACCTGTTGGATTCTAGTTTCTTTGAATTTTGACTCCTTAACTTATAACTATACTATAAAAGCCTTGACAGTTTCCAAACTCACAGCTTACACATCTGCTCTAAAGAAGGAAATAACCCATACAGAACAAAGGTAACTTTGCGGTAGCCTCAAGTGGACATTAGAGGAACTGCAGTTATTGGCACATGAGCTTTATGTCTTGATTAGGGATGGTATCCGGTATCCGGTGCCATTATGGCAACGGTTCTGTCATAAACGGTCGTAACCAGACCGAAAAGCAGCGCACATTTCGGTGCTTTATTTCGGTGCTTTTTTTTCCCTGAGCTCTAATACACTTTAGATTCTAGCCAATCATTTTACGTTTCTGAGGATAGTAGGCGGGCCCAGGTACGTACGTTCTTTTAGAGCAGAGCTACAGATTAAAAATGCCCAAGGCGAAGCGGTCTAAAGTCTGGCTGTACTTCACAGCAAAATATGCAAACTCAGCAGCCTGCAACAAGTGCTTTAAGCTGATACTGTGCAAAGGAGGTAACACCTCAAATCCGATGAAACACCTGGCGACACAGCATTTTTTTTAAAAGCCGAGAAATGCGCCGTATTTGATAGCTTGCCGCTAGACCTCACACCGTGCACATCTACTGCGGGTGTGGTGCCTGTTATCGGACCCGGAGTTAGCAACATCCCCCAAAAACCCGAAGAGTAGAGTCCTGGCCCCTAGCCCTGCCAGTGTAGCAGAAATGATGACGGATGATGATGCAGCAGCAGCCGTTCTTCTCTGCATGAGTAGCTTAATGTTGTTCGTGTGTAATTTACGTTGAGTATGCTAACCACGTTATTACATTAATGCATGTAAGGTGAACTAGCAAACATCATCATAGCTACATGCGGCTGTCTTCTTGTTTGATGGCAGATACTCCCTTCACCCTGGCCAAAAAGGCTAAAATGACCAAAGAAAAAGTGGAAAACAGCTAAACAAGAGGTTTTTGGACAAAGTTTGGCTTCCATCCAAGAGTGATACCATATATGCCCCATAGCTGCAGAAAAGGCTAACATTGTTATCTTTTTACAAAAAAACAGCTGAACATGAGAGGTTTTTGGACCAATTTTGTGTTCTCCATTCTTTAAGCACCGGTTCAAGCACCGGTTCGAGCACCGTTTCAAAAGCACCGGCACCGTTTCAAAAGTACCGGTTTGGCACCGGTATCGGATAAAACCTAAACGATACCCATCCCTAGTCTTGATGATTGCAGCTTCACTTCCCGCAGTCACACAAGTAAATATTTGGCCCTTCTGTTACAAGCCACAAACATACAAAAGGCATTTTTTGGGGGTCAGCTTTTTTCCCTGGAGCTGTCTGTTTGTCAGCGGCACATACTCACAAAATCTGGCAGCAGAGTGATGAAAAGAAAAGATCATTAGTGCAGCTTGTAATGTGTCTTTTTTCTGGGTTGGAGCATCTTTGGGCCCAAGTTCCCCAGTCCAATATTCTGTTAACACACATTAACCCTCCAAGTGTTTTCATGTTGAGTCCACCCTAACACCTCACCCTAACCCATGTCACACTAAACAAATAAGAAGCTGGGAAACACTGGGAAAATGCTTCAGACCATTGTTTTCCCTGTAAAACTCATTTTGTGCAACAAAAGCAGCCAGACTTGTCAAATGTTTGAATAGACTTCAAGATTAAATGACTTGATTTAATAAGTTATGAAATTACCATAAAGGTCATGGTAAACAAGATCAGCAGCTTTTGGCACATCACAGTGTGTCTGCCTCTTGGGCAGTGACCATCAGCTGGACTTCATTACTTTTCCTAGTACGTTGTGGGATACTTTAATTGAACTGTTTAGAGTAAAGATAAACTCTAAACATATATAGGGTGAAGACTACAATGTCACACTCACTATTTAGGGTAGTCTGTATAATAAGGTGAGTAATGAGTTACTTCAGATGTAGTTCGTGTTTTATTTGGTGCCAAAAAAGTCATCTTTGCGCAACATGAGGGCTGCTTGGGGATATCAGTCGTCTTTAACAATTTATACATTTTTAAAAAGGTTCCAGAAACTTTTCTTCTCTCTGGCAGAAGCAGATCTGATTTTGAGATCAGTTCTTATCACCTGAAATTTACCCTTACCTGTGTATCCTCCTGCCTTTGAATGAATAAATAATCTTTATTTGGGGGTTAAAGTGCCTTGCTTGAGATCACAGTGATTAGTTACTCTGAGATCATCTGGTTAGCATCAGTCCAGATGTTGAAAAGGCAGCGTTCAGGCCACGAACCCGTGTTTTTAACCCTCAGAGGGGAAGTCAAGGACGTCCTCACTATTTTCAGACATTTGGCTGAAACTCGCTGTTCTGATTGCAAGTGAACGTGAGCCAAAACAGATTCAATGCTTCCTTTTGTCAGGAAAAAAAAATCTATTTCTTACATAATCATACAGTTGGCACTCTCCAACGGGTTTCTGGTTCCTGGTTGGAGAAAGCCGTCCAAATTGAAATTAAAATTTTCAGTGTAGATTATTTTTAGGCCGAGATTTAAAGCGAAGCTGCAGCGCGGTGGCAGCTTTGCTTGTGCTGCGTTCTCAGCAATAACACGACTACAGCGTGGGTGTCCTGTGAACTGCACGCTCACTTATTGTGTCCGAGTTGAGGCACTCTCTAAAAATGTCAACGCGTCCCTCATTTCATTTGTACACATGGGAAATTAAACACACACACACACGGGCCACCCGAAACAAAGAAGGCACAGATAAACTATCGCATCTTACTTCATGCTCTCCCTCTGCATCTTTCCAGCAGGAAATTTGAATCTCCTGCTTTAGATTTGTTTAAATCCATCAACACACGGAGAAGTTGGATTCAGTATTTTTTTCCACCTATAAAAATCCTCCAGAGTGAAATCAAGTAGTTTGAAAAACTTTCCCCGGGATCATTAAATATACATATTATTTCCTCACAGAGTTTTTGTAATCGCTCGCAGTATTGTCAGAATGACTTAATTTTAATTCACAGGGCTTCTCTGTTGTTTCGGAGCAAAAAGGAAAATGTGGTTACCATTTCCTCCCAACCGATCACTTCTGGGTGAAAGCCTAATTTACAGCCAATTACATCTGGCAGGTAGCTGATGGTATTACTCAACATTTAGGCCCGCAGTTATGAATGCTAACGACGACTGAGGGAATACAGAGGAATACCTCACGTGGCCGAAAGAAGTGATGATTGCTGGAATGGTTCAGATAAAGAAATATTGAGTGAGCTTTATGGCAGCAATGCTGAGTGTTTTTGAAGGACATGAAATGTGGCAAAAAGTACATTACATGAAAAGAGCTTTAGGCTGAAAGTGAACCTATGCTTCTCACGTCCGGCTTTTGCACTCCGCTGGAGTGGCTGTGCATTATTATCTATATAAAGCTGGGTCTTGGTTCAAGCCTGGTGGGAAGACCAGCTGAGATCACAATTTTAGCTATACAGACTCAAACAATGATCCTTCACCCAATAATTGTGAGTAAAATTTATAAAATCATAGGTTAATTTAATAATTAATCATTATGGAAAATATGCTTGGTATAAAGTGAATGTACACCAATCAAGTAAATTTCATTTTATCAGATTCTATTAAATTCAATTTTAACAGGACAAAATCTCTAGCAGGTAAAAATCCTGAATCCGGGTTTTAGTAAATAGAACAGAGGTCGGACACCGAGGAGCAGCTGGTGCAGACTGAGGACAGGCAGTAAGACAAAGAGCAGAAACTATCCAGCGTTCCAAAAATAAAGAAAGCACACAGACTTACAAGCAGTTTGGCAACAGCAGAGGTCAAAGATCACACACAAGAGGCGAGGAATGAACACTGGGAAAGATAATAGTAGGAACATAAAGTAAGGAGAAAGCAGAAATAACTAAGGTGCATGACAAATCAAATGAAATAATTAATTAAAAACATCATATGGGATTGCCTTTTCAGTGTGTGTGCTGTGATTGGCAGCCTTTAAAACAGAGCCTGGCTCCGTGCAGAGACTTCCTGGATAAAAAGGCCTGAGTCTAAAAATATTGACATCGAGGTGGACAAACTCACATTGATGTCACCCACTAATTTGTAGGATCTATTTTGAACCCTTGATTTTAACATAATGGCATTACCAGCTGAGTTTTCATGAAGCCAGAAGGGACCATGTTTAGAGGAGATGGTGGAGTGAAGCTGTGTCCATAGACTTAAACTAATTATTGCTAAGTAGCATGAATAAAACACTAGAAACACAATAATTTCACTTAAACAAAACTAAAACATAGACTTAGTAGAAGGGCTGTTAGTTCAGTTAATGCCACAATAAGCCACATTATTTGTGATTATGCATTAAATTTGTTCCAAAAGGCAGTGATACCATAACCATGAGCCATTTACCATTTTGCTCAACTTTAAACGTCAATAAAATATAAACGAGGCAAGTAAAGAAAAAATAATCTTCTTTCATACGTGTGTCATAAAGAGAGAAATGAGCTTTAGAGGCCAAAACTGTTTTTGGAGCAGGCTGTAAATGTGTTTATTTCAGCTGTTGGAGATTTTAACATGGGAGTCTGTGGGGACTGACTCGTTTTTGGAGCCAGCCCCAAGTGGGCATCAGGGGAACTGCAGATTTGAGCATTTTTCAACCCTGCAGGTTTCTACTTTAAAACAAACCCTGGATAAGTCAAATATACTTTGTTTAGGTTTCCCCAGGAACAATTTAAAGGGGAACTGGTACAACTAGTTTCTCTTTAACGATACTGAATTATGTTGTTGCAGTATTAAAAGTGCATTCTATGTTTTCAGCCTCTGCTGATGGGAAAAGACTGAGAGTGTCAGACGAGACAGAGAAAACCATGAGAGTCACGTGGACGCCAGCGCCGGGCAACTTGCTCAACTACCGGCTGAAGTACGTTCCCCACAATGGAGGCAAAGAAGTGGTCCAGAAAATCCCTGCAAAGGCCACTTCTACCATCATGAAGAATCTGAAGCCCGCGACCACATACAATATCACCGTTCTGCCCATCTACAAGCGCAGGGAAGGAAAAGCAAGGCAAGGAGTAGGAACGACACGTACGTTGGTCCATAATTCAACCCTCTGAGAGACAGCACACTGCAGAAACATGTCCATCTTAGCCAAGACGTTTATACCTGTGCTCAGTCTAAAAATATGATCGCTGGTGGATGAGTTTAGCTCAGGTGCTGGATGCAATGGGCACATAGTCACTCATTTAAAGTCATTTTTTATAAGAAAAAATACTCCTGTAAGAAAGTTTTCATGTTATATTGCTCTAATTTTAGAGGAGCTTTTACATAATGAGAAAAAGTAAATCTGAGGCCCACTCCAAGGATGTGTGAGGATGTGTAGCCTCCAGGGTTTAATCCTCAGTGCTGAAGTTAACTAGAGAATTGTCTGTATTTTCCAGGCAGCGTATAAACCTGGTATATTTAAAGATTTATTCACAATTTTTCAGAGAAACCTCACACCAAGTCACGGTGCCTTGGAAAAAAATATGTTTCTTTGTTCCAAGTTGCAGATTTTTTTCCCGTTTTCCCACCAAAAATTTCATGGACTGACTTCAAGTTTAAACTACTTGTTAAGAGGAGTATTTTTCACACCACAGGTGCTGCAGCGCCTCCTAACGAGAACACTAAAATCACAGATAAACACGTGCTCAATCACACGCTAGCATTACTAACACACAGCATGACACTGGGCTTCCTAACGGTCGACACTGGGTTCAAGGAATTGTATTATGGACTAATGAGAAACTGGCTTGAATGTAGCGTGGCTGATCCTTAAAAACCTTCGCCAAGAGTTGGAGTTGTGTCGAGTTTAGTTCTAGGTTAGTTTGTCCTGAATTTCCTGCTGATTTCTTCTATTTCAGTGTCACCGTACAAGAGTCCCAGGAACCTTCTGACCTCAGAGCCCACCAGGACCAGTTTCAGAGTGTCCTGGGATCCAGCACCTGGGGAAGTCAGGGGCTACAAAGTCACCTTTCACCCCACAGGGAATGATATTGACCTTGAGGAGCTCCTTGTTGGCCCCTATGATAACACAGTTGTTCTAGAGGAACTCAGGTAAGCTTTCAGAGTTATTTTATGGCATACGCAGAGGATTTCATTTAAAAGGAAACAACAAATATAGAAGACAGTCAACAGGAAAAGGCTTAAATGGACACTATGATAACAGAACTCATAAATTCTATAACTTGTCAACAATAGGATTTGGTCCAGAAAAGTAGTTTGACCCAGTAGTATCAGGGAAAGTTGCAGTTAAATATCTGCGAACTGAGGAGAGCCGCTACTGAATGTCTGGGAGAGGACTGTTGTCCCATTGTTGTCTGAGGATTCTAGCTGCTCAAATGCAGGTTTTTGGACTGAATGCCAATAACATGCCAGATGCTCTCTTTCCTCTTAAGTCTGGAGAATACGGTGTCCGTGTTTTCCAAAAGATTTCCAATTCTGATTCGTCAGACCACAGAAAAGTTTTCCTCTTTGTTTCTTTCTATTTTAAATGAGCTTAGGCCCAGAGAAGACAGCAGCATTTCTGTTAACTTATGAATATTTCTTTGTATGGTAGAGATGAAAGGATTGAAAGAGGAAGACGAGTTTTATGGAGAACATGCAGAGGGTTGGAGATGGAGGCAGATCATCTGCTGTGGTGAAAAAAATATTTAATGTGGTTAAAGATAAGAGATACATGTTAGATACTGATTCTATCAACTTGCTATGAAAATACAGATTGGGGTTATGGGTTCCTATTGGATGGCTGTAGGGACCTGGATACAGTACAGGACCTTTTTTTACAGTATTCTTCTATATTACTACCTTACAATATAAAGCGCCTTGAGGCGACTGTTGTTGTGATTTGGCGTCATATAAATAAAATAATAATAAAATGGAATTGAATTATTACAGCATGATTGCACAAAGACTAATAGAAATGTAAATGTTTACACAAAAATCATTAATTTTGATGTGGGGAAGCTGTTTTTCTGTGCTTAGACTGTTAAACACATAAACAGTGCTAATGTTTAGGTAGCAGCTTAGCTAGCTGAATACATGGTACAAGGTTGATGCACAGTAGCAAAAGCTGTAAAGCTTTTCCAAAAATAAACTTTTGTAGACTACATTGTGTGCAGTGATTTCAGATTATATTCTGATCATAGCAGGCAGGTAAAACCTGCCAAATCTGGCTATTAGCATTGTCTGAGTAACACTGAACACAAACACATTGTTTTTGTTCAGTGTTACTCGGACCTTCATAGGGAATCTCTTAATTTGAAATTTGAGGGGTAAAGTTACATCTTAGTTTGGAATTCAACCCTTAATAAATCAAATAAAGCTTTGTTATGCTTTCAAACTAACATTTATTCTTGAACCAGTGCTGCGAATCTGACTGCAGTCAAACATTTAGGTTTCAGCACACCCTCCACCAGCTATGATGTCATCTGATTGTTTATGCTGTACAAAATTGCTTAGAACTGAGGGAAGCAGCAAAGCTTCACCACTGACATGAAACAACTTCGTAAAGTTCCACGTCTTTGGTTAAAAAAAAGTTAATAAGTTAAAAAGTTAATATTAGTAAAGTTTTCACTGCTTATAGGCTTATAAGGTGATGATGATTTTTTTTTTTTTTTTTTTTGCTGATGATTTTAGCGGTTTGTCTCTTTTCCCCTTTATCCTCAGATCAGGAACAAAGTACTCTGTCGCTGTGTTTGGGATGTTTGATGGAGGAGAGAGTTTGCCTCTTGCAGGAGAGGAAAAGACGACTCTCAAGGATGAACCCGAATCTCCTCATGTCACTCTTTCTGGTAAAAGCCGACAACAAACTTCTCTCTGCGCTCATTAGCAGGCCTGCAGAGCAGACGTTCTCTGATCTCTGACGTTGAAGTGTCACTCAGATTAGTGCCAAAACTTTGATTTATATGTTATCACAGGGAATTGAAATCGCTGTCGCTGTGGGACTGAAACTCGGCACAGATGATTACGATTCATTGAAATTATTTAGAGATGCTTGGCTCACATTTTCTCACCTCCCTACTGTTAGTGGGAGTGTAATGTGGAGCAGAGTTACATGCGATCAGGTGTTGACATGAATATATATATGAACTGCACAAATGATCCCCTCACATGCTGCAAGCACTGAGCTTTAATGGCATTGCCATAAGCAGTTAGAGTTTTTTATGAGGGTTCGATGCTGGAGGGATGTATGCAGCTAGGAAAATGTTATGCTTCCCATCAGACCCCGAGGAGGTGCTGATCCGCAGCAGAAATTCCTGCTGTAATGCGAAGCAGACACGGTGACCGACTGCCCACCGAGCAGGGAACGCGCCAGGCCACTCCAAGATCCTTGCTTACTGAACTGCAGCTCTAACAGAGCAGGCTTTAATTCAGTGTTTTTGACAGGTCCATATGGTCTTTAATGCGTCCTTAATATGCTGCAGAAACATTATTTTTTACTGTCCATTAAATTTAATCCTTTTTAAATTTTGCTCTTTACACAAAACTGGAAAAATCTGACATTGAAGCGAGAAAACGTGATTCCAAGCATCTTTTCAGGATTTGGCTAATGAAAACGTTAACCTTCAATGCTAATTGCATCCACAAAGGAGAGTGAGAGAAAAAGTGAGGGTGAAGTGTGTGTCATCGCAAACATAAAAGGGCAGGTTTTCTGTCAATTCTGGACGAGTTGCCTGTTTAATAGCAGGATTACAGTCGAAATTACAACTTGGAGCAACAACTGGAGATTTTGACATCACAAAAATGTATCAGATTGAACCAAGAACAATTTCGAGTCATCGTGTAAATCTGAAGAAAACACTTCAAAGTAATTTGGAAGGATCTCATATCATGCATGCTGCGCAGGGAGCTTTCAGCCTTAGTGGAGATATACAGGTTCAGACTCATGTTACTGTTGTTTACTTGTAAACAAACAGCATCTTTTATGCAAATAATCTCAACTCCAGAAATAGTTATTTGTATTTTCTGAAACTTTCAAGCATCTTGTTTATAGTAACACCACACAGTTCCTTCAACTGAAGCTTAGACACAAAAGCAACAACAATTCGGAGCTGCTACAGGTTTCGGCAGGACACAGACACACTGGGCTGAATTTTCATTTGCTCCTCCTCAGAGACACTGATTCCAACAGTTGTCTGCAGCTTATTAGAAACCTATGAAAGCTGCCTCTGTTTATGACATCTGTTTTTATTAATAAACGGCACCGGGACATGAGCGCGTTGTTTACTGGCGGTGGTATAACTCAGACAGACCGCGGCCAAGCATCCAACTCGAGCATCAAGCATCTGTTTCTGCTGCCTGCTAAAAAATGAAGTTGCTCGTCTCCTCTCATCTTTTTAATCACACACACAGGCACCCTGTTTTTAACTGCTGGGCGTGTCGTCCTAAAAACATGGACGAGCGGCCATTTTTCACCCCCTACAGGTACCTGGAGCAGGAATGCGCAGTAACTTCAGGGAGCAGGAGGCCTCGTAGATCACAGTATGGGAGAGGCTAATCGCTGCTGAGACTACAGCAGCACAAAACACCCCGAGTGTCTTGCTGGCTGGAAGAAAGACACAGAGAGAAAAAAAGACCATGAAGAGAGCTCTTAATTCTGCACTGACAGCTGTTACACAACGTGTGAATTATTTGTGTTACATAATGTAAATCTGTTGTCTAAGCATCTTGTGATTGTGAGAATTTTCGTGATGTCCTGCTTACTCCTCTCTCCTCCTGATGCATTTCCTCTCACTCTTTCACACTTTTCCCTCGCACAGTAAGACTAAACAGACACTTGTGGTGGGTATCTGTTGTGTACCAGGTGTCTGACTAACCTCCTCTCCTCCCAACACCACCGTCTCTACAGACGCTCAGTGTAAGACCACAGCGAAGGCCGACATCGTGCTGCTGGTCGACGGCTCCTGGAGCATTGGACGCATTAACTTCAAAACCATCCGCAGCTTCATTGGTCGCATGGTCAGCGTGTTTGACATCGGCCCAGAAAGAGTCCAGATTGGTAAAGCTTTCACTATTGTTACTATAACGACATGAGTCACATGGAGGGATGATTTCCTTCAGAAAACTGTCTCTTGGTATTCGCCTAACCTTAACCTCCCTTAATGGTATCTTTAAACCTCAATGGAAGATATTGTGCTCATCTCTAGATCCATATTTTAATTTTGGGAATTTACTAGAGTAGCTTTGTGTGAGTAACAGTTCAATCTAACCCCCATCCTGTATCTGAAATAAGCTGTTTTACACCAAATCAGAGTGGCTGTATCCTTAGTGTTGTATTTTCTGCAGGTCTGGCTCAGTACAGCGGTGACCCAAAGACTGAATGGCACCTGAACGCCCACCCCACCAAAGAATCCCTGATGAATGCTGTTGCCAACCTGCCATATAAAGGAGGAAACACCATGACAGGTGATTTTTTTTTAGTACTTTGGCCCAGCTCTCACTGACCTGGGTGCCAGTGTGGGAGACAAATTGATTAATTTTTATATACTGTGGCAAATCACAACGTATACAAAGTATAAAGTATAATTTCAAAGCACTTTACATACTGGGGCCAAACCCTTGGTGTGAGACTCAGCCACAGTGGAGAACAAAAAGCTCACTTTTAAGAGGAAGAAACTTCAGACAGGTGTGAGGAAGACGATGGACAAACTACCGGAGAGAGTTGACACAAAGTTAATAAGATGCAGCATGGAGCGTTAGAGCGAGGCGAGACACACTAAGCATAGACGGTAATAATTCAACAAGACTTTTATTTTATTACTCAGTTGAGAAGATATAAGCAGAAGTAGTACAAGTTAATAGTGACAAAACACTGGAAGCAGCAGCTGAGCTTAGCATTGAACAGCTGGAAGGAAAAGCTGATCTACTATAACATGATGGTCTTCCATGGAAATCCAAACCTACCACTCATAGACAGACACACAGATTAATAAGGGGTTTAACTTTAAAGCGATCACAGTGAATAGGTAGAAAGGCTGCTCATCAGTTTGTTACCTGTTGAAGTTCAGCATCTGCCTGCTGAGTTGGGGTCAGAAAACACTAAGCTTCCACTCTGAGTTCTTGGCTAGCTTAGTGTTAGCATGCTGTCTGTGCAGATGCTTGCAAAGAGTCGAAGTTGTGTTAGCAGCATAATTTAACAGCTGTTTGTCCGAGATGCAGTCTCCATTTTACCATCACACTCTTGTCCTTTTGTCCAATGAAAATAAAAGTAATGTCCATATCAACGCTCTTAGACTGTGGCACTGTTTTCCACCTCTGGCACGTGAACTGAAATCAGCTAACTGTGGCGTGTGTGCAAGAGCAACGAATAAGTGGGGTCGATAGAACCAGTTCTCGATTCCTGTCCTTGATAATGGACATATTCAGTATCACATGATCCAGCTGTAAGCTTTCTGATGGGTCAGGTTAGTTTCAGAGGGGTTAAACAACAGAAAAGCAGCATGCAGTGCTTTGTGATCTGCACACATAACTGAAACTTCTTCCTCACTGTGGTACAGGAATGGCTCTGAACTTCATCCTTCAGAACAACTTCAAACCCAACGTGGGGTTGCGTCCAGACTCCCGCAAAATAGGCGTCCTGATCACTGACGGAAAATCCCAGGATGAAGTCATCGTAAATTCACAGAACCTGAGAGACAGCGACATTGAGCTCTATGCTATTGGTGAGTGAGCTTCACTGGTTTAAAGAAAAGGAAATTAAAACACGTTTGAACTTTTGGATGATTGCTACCTGCATGCAGCGAAGCAGAAAAAGTACCTGACTTTACTAGAATGGGCTGAAAATGATCAACCAGCAGCCACTTTAGTCATCTTCCTTCATCAAACTCATGGTTTATTTTTCTCACAGGTGTAAAAAACGCTGATGAGAATGAACTGAGGTCCATCGCCTCTGACCCAGATGACATTCACATGTACAACGTCAACGACTTCAAGTTCCTGCTGGACATTGTTGACGAACTCTCTGAAAACCTGTGCAACAGCGTTAAGGGCTCAGGTAGGGAAGATGTCACATGCTCAGAACACTGGCACAGATACCTGCTAATGAGCGCTAACTAAAAGATAAAATATGTGAGTAATCAGGTCATCTTAATTATTTAATGTTATCGAGGTGCATCCATGGACATAAACATAAACTAAGTATTGCTATGAGCTACAAACTCACCAAAACTGAAGTACAGACTTCTGGGACAGTCTGTTAGTGTAATTAACCACACAGCAGATAGTTCCATTAAAATGCTCCAAGAAGTGCCAGCAGCACAAAGCTGTTCTAGAGGTCTACTTCAGTGATTTGAATTAGCGTAGGTGAAGCCGAGCAGGGCTAGCAGCTACGACCGCTTGTGTCTGCACCATCCTATTAGCCATAATGGCCACATCCTTAACTTTAAGCCTTAACAAAATCCAAAGGGGTGACTTATCCAAACATTCGTTATCAACTTATCCCAAAGTTTCATTGTACACGTACAATGACAATATAAGGCTTTTCTATTCTGTTCACCACCTGTACAGGTGTTACGAAAGGGGAAAACATCCACAGGCCAAAGCTGGGGTGTTTTTTGTATCGGTCTGTGAATCTCTTTATTTCTGCTGTAAAGTTGGACATTTTATCATGGCAGTCTATAGGGACTGACTCTCAGTCTGAGTCTGCCTCAAGTGGACACTAGTGGAAATGCGGCTTGGTATGACAAGGCAAACACATACAGTATGCATTGGCAGAATTTAAAACAAATGAAGCAGAAAGTCCAAAGCAGTGTGATTTAAATATCGCAATTTCATCATAAACTTCTTATTCCTGCTCATGAAAATGCCGCAGAACATGGCGATATGGTACGCTTTAGCTAAAGATTTAAAGCTCTGTACATTTTCACAAGTAAATAGCAGCTCACAGCTCTTTGTACAAACTATTCTTTAAAATTACTGTGGTGGTGGAAACATCACAGTTTAAAAAAACAAACAGTTTTTAACATGGACAATCAGACATTGGTGTTTATTTTCCCGCAGGCTTTCAGCAGGTTTTACAAGAACCTGAGCCTGTGAAATCTGCTGACAAAAACTTTTAGTCTAAATCAAAGACATCCTCTTCATTGGTACAGCTTGAGAGATGAAACTAATGGCTGCTGACAAGTAGAGAGTAGAGATTACTTTGAGTGTTTTATTATCTACAGATCAACATTATCCAGACTTGGCTGAAAGATAAAAGCAAAAATGATAAATTTGTAGATATATTTGACTCAGCTCTGCCTGACAGTCTCAGTTATTTCAGACCTTCAAAGGACGTTGCGACACATCCAAGCATCTGATGGAAACTTTCGTAGTGGACGTACTTTATGTGTGTAAATCAATTTTAAGAGGAAACAATTTACAGCTGAGCCGGAGAAAACCAGTTTTTAAATGAAGCAGCCGGCCAGGAGCTTTACTGTCAGAGGAGCGAGGGCAGATTTGTGGATCCCAATATCTGTGCCGTTTGTTTCTTCTCAGATGATGAGTCAGTGGCGGCGCCCACCAACCTGGTGACCTCGGAGGTGACGCAGAGCTCTTTCCGCGCCACCTGGACTCCACCCGACGGTCCCGTGGACCAATTCCGCGTCACTTACGTGATGGCGGCCGGGGGACCCACCGAGGAGGTGAGATGAAGCTCACCCTCTCTAAAACCAGGCAACAAGGTTTAACTCGTTAGATACCAGTCACAGTAAAATTTAATTGACATAAAAAAAAACTAAAGTAAGGAGATAGAGATGAGGAAACAGGAAATTAAAGTCAAAAGATACGCTCCAAGAAAATGATCTAAAGCAATTTCGAACATAACACACTGTTTAAAGGTATGATGAGGATAAATGAGGAGAGAGGCAGTACCCTATTTTTTCCTCTTCGCATCCTCCACCTGGTTTCGGTATAAAGTCGGTTATGTCATTGTTGTCTGGTATCCATTCTATTGTTCCATCTCTAAATGGTCAAAAGACCTTCAGATAATTGGAGTATTTTACAGGACTTAGAAGAATCCGCTCAGTCTGCTTCCTGTGACGGTAAACTTTATGTTTGCCAGCTGTTGGATCATTCTCTGAATATCAAACAGCAACTTGTTTTCTTATTAATTCCCTTTGGCTCCTATTAGCTAATTAGATAATTCTTTTGTTTGTTTATAGGAAACCAAAACCACAGCTTCCTGTAAATTTCAGATAATGACAGTTGCACAAAAACAGACTAATTAACGCTAAATTCCCTCCTGCCCTCCCTCACACAAAAACAGACTCTCGGGTGAGTTTCCAAACACCCAGGTCTGGCTTTTATTCAAAACTGCACTTTAGGTGGCCCCCAGGATCTGAAATGTGGATCCTGGCTGGTTTACTGAACCTACGCTGAGTTTAGACGTGATCTGTTGTCAGTTGTGTCTTTAACAACACGTTACTGGACCCTTTACTGGCTCTGGTCAGGCAGAGCCTGCGATGATTTCACTCCATCTATTTGGTTTAATGTTATAGATTCACACTGAGCCAGGATGCCTCCCCTGCAGCCACTTTTCATTAACATGTTTACATTGGACTGCTTGAACAGCGTTGGGTATTAGTGCAGACCTTATCTGCTGGGATTTACACCCACTTCAGCCCGTTACAAGGAGGGTCAGCACAGAGGCCATAGCGTGCTGCCACGAGGTGGAACTCGTATATAACTGTGTATATTCAAAAGGAAAACTAGAAATGCGTTAAATTAATAGACAAAGAAGGGGCTGTGCGGTGAGTGAAGTGTGTTCTTGGCTTAATTTTAAGTCTTAAAAATGTACGATCAACCCGTGCAGCTGCTGTTTTAGGCAAAGACACTAAAAATCGATGAGTGGGATTTGTCTCTGAAAACCTGATGCTAGGATCGATATCATTATAACAAAACTATGTAATTGTTATTTTTTTTAAAGGTTTGGTTACAGAGTCTCATATTTAGAGTGTCATCATTTGCCAGAAAGAAGAAAAGAAGTACACAATAAACAAAGTAAAGTTGACTCTAAAATTATTATTATTATAACTCAAATTTCCAATATTGTGAACATAAAGTCCTTGGATTATGATAAGCGAATGACTGATACTGTGACAGCTCAGAAGGAAGCAGGACACAAGAAAAACAAACACGTACATTCATGAAAACCCAGCACAAATATTAAATGTCTAAACTTTTACTCTTGGGTCCTGTTCAATCTGATCTCTGTGTCAGGAAAAATAATACACGATTAAGAGGATTACCCCTGTGTTTGGAGTTGCTCGTATGGTGTGTGTGTGTGTGTGTGTATATTATTGGTCATTATCAGCTAGTTTTAACCCACAATAGCATGGTATGTGACGTGAGTGTTCATATCAGCTGAAACTCCCTTTATTTAATGTGCTGCATGTATCCCAATGTAAACTCAGGTGGGCTGGACCAGAAAAACTATTGCAAAACAAACCTTTTTTTATTTTAATGTATTGAAGTATGTTCATCTGTTACAAAGCAGATGATCATACTGAGAGATCTTATAAGTATTATAGGCACATTACAGTGGCTTTACAGATCACAGTGGCTTTACCAGAGCAAGGGTTCACTGCTCTGCAAGCAAGTATAATCCTGGCTCCACATTGCAAACAAATATATCTTTATGGTTGCTTCCAGTAAATTAAATCTAAAGTTTGTGCTAAAAAATAAATAAATAAAGAGAATGTATCAGCTTGTTTCCCATCCTATTTTGATAATCTTGAGTGTCTGATTCAATAAAGATTAAGGTAAGGTCACACCAGTGGAGTCAAGAAAAACTGTGGTCGAGATCCATTGGAAACAGGTTGAGCTTAATCAATCACAGACACAAATAACTTGATAAGAGGGAGATATTTTCCAGATTACCAAACTGAAGAGCCCACCAGCCTGAGAAGCTGCAGACTCTTTGTGTTTGTTTGTTATTTCTCGGCTGGGTTTGATTTTCCAGCAGAATAGTGCAGGAATGTGACGCTATTTCAAAGCCAAGTTGAACATCCCGCACGAGGACTTTCCCACCAGCACAATAGATTTAGGCTCAACAGACTACAATTATCCAACGGTGAAAAGACAGATAAAAGTTTTAATGACATCACAAAGAGAGGTGAGAGGTGAAACGTCTTCAAGCAACTTAAAGAAGTCCAGACGCTTTTCTTTGTAAGCTCCTTTGACTACGATGACCTGGATGACTGAGAACCTTCACAGACATCACGAAGAGAGGCTTCTTTGGTTTTTGATCCCAGGCACTCTGTTTTTTTTTGACTTTCCGAGGTGAAATTTACCAGCTATGGAATGATAACCAGTCCTTTATCATTTCAGGTGCTGGTCGACGGATCCGTGAACACCTTAGTGCTGCAGAAACTGTCGCATCTGACCGAATACATTGTCAATGTTTACTCTGTGGTTGGCGAGGTGAACAGCGAGCCTCTGAAGGGCACTGAGACCACATGTGAGTATTTCCTCTTCACCTCTGTACCTTCTTGTTCTGTGCCGGACGTAATGTGTGCACTGCTGTTATGTTTCACGGGTGTTGGAGTGGTTGGACAGTTGAAGAGGGGCAGAGACAGCAAAAAGCCTGTTCAGATCCACAAAAGTCCAATATTAGACTCCAGATAGAAGTCTCAACTGGCCCCTGGACCTTATGTTTGATTCCCCTGCTCTAAGTCATTAATGATGATCTCATGATGGTCATCATTGGTGATGATCCCTGCCCTAAATCTAACTATGCTACACTATAAGGGCAAAAGTACTGAGAAACAAAGCTTATTCTTTGATTTCAGGTGCTTTCAGTCCCATTGCCACAGGTGTATAAAATCAAGCACTGTCTGCCTTTACAAACCTTTCTGAGAGACATTGCCTCTGGCATTAACATCAGCACTAAAACTGTGTGCTGGGAGCTTCATAGCCTATCTTAAACCTCAGAGGCTTAAGCAGGATTGTTTCTCCACTCTCCAAAATTCAAAAACGGCTCTTGCCGATTGAGAGAAGAGCTGAGTTTTTATTCTTGTTGATTTTTTTAAAACCTCTTAGTTCAAAGACATGATTAAAGAAGAGGTTTGAAAGCCGATAGTATCATCGCATTGTGGTGCTTCACATTTGTGGGAAAGCGTTCTATTTCTTCCATATGGTTTGTGAGATAAACAGCTTGATTTCTCCGCTCATTATCCTGTTTCACACACATCCATGGAAGTCATCTGCCCGCCTTCATATCTGGTCCAGCATCTGTGTTTATACTACATATATTTAGCATCTGATCTGAGGTGGAAATATGTTTAACACAGTCCCATGATGCAATCCTGAGAGCGGATGTTAGTCGGAGTAGGAAAAATGGGGCAACTGTTAAAATTAATCAGGTCTGCGGTCGTTGCATGTATCTTAGATAAACTGATAGAGTTTAACAACGTGTTTAGTGCACAGCTCTAAGTGATTTTATTTGCTCATTTGTCCTTTAAAGTTCCCTTTATTTGTGCTAAAATGTGTGATTGATTTTTACAACAAGCGGCTTCTCACTGTCATAAAACAATAACTGGCTCTTGTGTTGCTGTCGGTTTTATGGTGGCCAGCAGCTGTCAGATCACTGTGGCTTTGTTTACTGTAATTTTTAAACTAACACTCGATTAGGTCATAATGTCCTTCTTAAAACAGTGTCTATAAAGGTCTGGGGTCTGTGGGTTTGGGTGGGGGTGACATATATCATGATGTCACATAGTGCTAAAACAGTAAGGAGGTGGGATTTTTTTTGCAAAGCCACACTCTTAAAAAGCCAAAATTCACACATTTGTGGGTGTTTAAAAGGTTACATCCAGTTTCAAAGCAAAAGTGTGAAATACTCATCCTCCTTTCTTCTCGCTTTCCAATACAAAAAAATTAGGTTGGGTTTTAATGCGATTACCATAGACTGTAAATAAAAGACGTATATAGCCAGCTTCTCCCATTGGTTTGAAGCCTGTTAGCATTTTTGTTTCTTGGTCCTAAAAGTAACCTTATTTTGATGAGAGGCTTGGGTGCTAAGTCTTCAGCTAAAGGTAGTTAGTTTGGTTAGAAAGCTGCGTCCATAAACTGTGCGGGTGCACAGATCCCTGCTGGTCAGTGTTAAGTAGCCTGATAAAATATTCACTCGTCAAGACTGAAGCCCAAACTTCTTGAACAGTGTGTACCACAAAGCGAGCCATATTATCAGATAATTCCAAGAATAATGCTCCAAAAGGCACAAACACATCAGAAGTCCAGTTCAGCAGAGGTGAGGCCAAACCATAGACCTGAATAATGAATATAGCTTCTCGGTCTGAAATGTGAAGCCAGTGCAGATCTTCCATGGGAAAATCCACCTTTATACTGTCTACGAGCCTAGCAGACAGTAATCAGCTAGAGCTGCCTGTAATGTATCAGGATACCTGTAATTTAAAATGGCCGTGCTCCTAATCAAGTTTCCAGATGGATGAGTTCACCCGCCATACAGTTGTTATGCAGGGAAAATATCCATAGAGACTAAAGCCGAGGCTGTAAACATGTTTAGTTCTGCAGTAAAGTTGGACTTTTTAACATGGCTTTCAGAGCCTCAAGTGGCCATTAGAGGAACTGCAGTTTCATGGACTTTATTAATTCTAACTATGCACTATTTAAGATCAGGATTTAGGAGCACACTGTTTTTTTTTTTTGTTTTTTTTTAAAAAAAACTTGGTTTTATCTTCTATATCTCTGTGTTTCCATGAAGCGTGTTGGTTAGCTTTTTTTATGTGACATCCAACAAAAAGTAACGAATAAGTCCTGAAAACTATCCTGAAAAAACAGAAGCCATCAAAAGCCCGAAGCTTTAAGATCACTTTGGGACATTTTGGGTCTGTTGGGGTCATTATCCTGTTATTGTACCAAAACCACCTCTGCATATTATAACTAAAAGATCAAGGAGCGTTAATCCAGAAAATCTGAAAAACGGAATTAATTTCTGTGCCTGAACCAACAAACACAGAGATTTGTCCACTCTGTTACTGTTTAGCAAAGCCAAAGAAGACCATGGCTGTGCCGTGTGTTAAACTGACTGTTTCTGTCCCCTCAGTGCCGCTGTACACAGTGAAGAACATGAACGTGTATGACGAGACCTCAGTCTCCATGAGGGTCAGCTGGGACGGAGTAGTCAGCGCCACCGGCTACATGCTGCTGTACAATTCCATCAATGCCTCCGAGCCTCAGCTGGAGAGTGAGGTACACGAACACCGAGGTTACAGTACTTTATCCCTGACAATGGTTTGGGTCTGCAAACTGTATTTATGATCCCAGTCCCAACAATGTGAGTAAGTAAACTTAATAATGTTCCCACAATGTCACAAATTCACCACAACACAGGGACACTAGCACGTAGATCGACACAAATCTAACACATCTCTTTATTTGCGTGTTGAGGTTTTCCACATTTATTTGATATTAGCCGGCTTCTGCTTGCATCACCTTACTACTTCCAGATGTGGATACAATGAGGAAGTAGACCTCTGCAGCCCGGCTCAGGCCAGGCCTACGAAGAGCAGAGCCCTCAGACACGCTGGGTAATGGCAAGGATTAGCTCATGGCCTGAAGTCATCGAGATGACATAAACAGAACAGATGGGACTGAATGCCTCTTTGGTGTTAACCTACATTTGCGATTATACAGCTGAGGAAAATTTAAAGGATGATTAAATGTACAGTGAGGTGGTCTTTACTGGAAATCAGGCGGCAACTGTGAAGTAGAGGGGAGCATTAACTTACTTTGCAGCACATGTTATTTGACATACAATTTCGTGAAGACCCTTTTATATCAAATTTCTCAAAATTTTCTTGCTTTTTTGTGTTTAATGTGTGATTTAAAAGAAGAAGATACATATTGAAAGGTTTAATGAATAATCAGTGAGGTTATCGGCTTACGTTCAAAAACCCCAATGGTGACCCCGAAGTGTAAGAGACAAAACCCCTGTTATATCCATGTATTCTACTTGTTACCTGGGCCATTGTTAAAGTTACTATCATTAGGACTATTAGCTACTTATTGATTGTTTTTATTTATGCTAAAAAATATTTTGACGACTCTTTTGTCTGTGCACACCAAGTTCAGCCGTTCTTCCAGTTTCAATGTATGCTAGTTCCGACGGTCACTTTCCTTCACCTCTGTCCCTGTGCAGCTACGTGTTGGAGATGTAACCAGTACCCAGTTGGAGCAGCTGATACCAAACACAGCGTACAACATCAGAATTTACGCTGTGTACGGAGAAGCCACCAGCGAGCCTCTGGAGGGCACGGGAGTCACCTGTATGTAACGTTAAACTGATTTTTAACTGTTTAAAATGTGATCTCTGAGGATATTTAATAGGATCAGAGCTCCTGTAATGTCGGTGGATTAAAACTCCATCAGCAAGCCAAACACTGGACAGGTGAAGGTAGATGGAGTGTAGCTATCAGCCTGGGTGTCAAGTAGTCACGATAGAAGGAAAAATGCTATTAGAAACTCATTAAAAACTGTCCAGTAGCAGTATTTTAGCTGAAGGAAGAATCAGGTCTTTAGAAGCAGCTTCAGTTCTTTTCAGTGATCCAAAAGCATAAAACAGTCAGCCTCAGTCGGACCGTGAGCCGTCTGTCTGTGAGTCAGTGCTAACCGCTGAACCAATGTGCTGGTGATTAGTTCATCATCCTCCAATTTACCTTTATATCCATCATCATCTTGATTTTTTGGAGCCGCAAATGTCCATATTTAGCTTTCTAGATTTCTTAGCAAACTGTATCTATAAACTTTACAGGAGCAACAAAGAAATAGAAGTAGATATCTACTAGTTAGTGCAAAGCACCACACAAATAAAACAAGAAAGGTTAGTAAACTACAGTGGTTTAGTAGCCAACTCATATCGTACACTGGTCATGTTCTTACAAACCTCAAAGAGCTCAACTATGTTAAAGCTGTCCGCAGACCCGCTCCGTCTCAGAAAGAATTCAAATATTTAAAATCCCTCCCCCCCACTTTTCTAAAGTGTTTACTTGAAATCAGAACTTCCATCCTGGATCATTTTTTTCTCAGAAATGGTTTTTAGGAAAGGTAAGGGGTTTCGGAGTTTTATTTCATGTCAGCTGTTGTTTTATAAGAGCTGGATCTCGTCTCCGAAATTTTGGATTGAGAACTTATCGATAGAAAACAGATGCACTACAAACCAAAGCAGGACCGCTTTCTTTAAAAAAAGAAAAAAGAAAAAATAAGCTGCTGTCTGTTTTTCAGCTCTTCAGTTTTGGCCTCACAGCGTCAGCCGGCAGTGTCTTTGAATGTCTTCACAACAATGCTGAGAGTGAAGAGATGTTGTTGAGCTTCACTCAGGGTGGTTAACGTTTCCTTTGCCCTGTCTTCCCGCAGTGCCCAGGCCGGCTGCCGGACAACTGAGAATCAGTGACGTTACTCACAGCACCATGAAGCTCAACTGGGATGCTGCTCCTGGACCCGTCCGCAAATACATCATCACCTACAAACCTGAGGAAGGAGAAGTGAAAGAGGTACAGCTGTGGCTTTATGATGGTGTGCTAGCTCCACTGCAGGGTTACATGACAAATACATGAAAAACCTCAGAGGGAGTGCTAATGCAGCAGTTGTTTAATTATGGGCGGAGTTATGATCAATATATTTCATGGTCGTGGTTTATTACACTTTCTAGGTTTGAAAGCACAAAATAATTGATTAGTCACAGTCATTTCTAGGCACATACATTAGATATTCAGGTTTCAGCTCTGTAATGTCAGGATTTGCTGCTTTTCACTGCTTCAACTTATTATAAACTGAACAGGCTTAGATTTTGGACAAAACTATTAATTCAGTTTATTGATTTGAATATTAATTTGTAGATTAATCAGTGATAAAATGAGAACCAGCATGCCTCCCATTCATGTCCGTCCCATAGAAAGCACCAGTATGTGGCCTCCTAAGTCGTCACCTTATTCAGTACTGATTGTTTGTTCATTGAAGGAAATAATGAGTTTTTCGTTTGAAAGAAGAAGCAAAAATCAGCTTAAGGAGGTTGAGGGGAAGTAGGCTTTAACCCCATGTCCCTGTTTTAGTTGTGTTAAGGCATGAAAAACTACCTGGTAAAGCTCAGGAAAAGATCAGGATTTAATTTAAAATAAAATGTAACCAAATGTAACCAGAATGTTGATTCCAACAATAGAGTTTATGCACTTTTTTGCACCGCACAGTTCTCCTACACAATCTCCAAGTCACTGATCAGACTGGACGATAAAGGGACTGTGAGAGGGCACCTAGTGGCTGTAACTGATGTCTGTCTGTTTCCAGAGTGCATTAAATTGGACGTCTTTATTTTAATTCAATATGATTCCATTCTATTCATATAGTCATACTTCACAATAAAAGTGCTCTCAAAGGCCTTCTATATTATAATGTGAAGACCTTACAACATTAAGAAAATAAGCACTTGCAAACAGTGGGGAGGAAAAACTCCCTTTTTAACAGGAAGAA